GGCACAAAAACATGTCTTTAATTTTCAAACTCATAGGTGTGTTTTGTGTTTCTGTTCAGCCATGCTTCTTTCTCACCTGTGCTACTTTTTAAGAAAACTTTTCATCATCTGAATATTCTACAAAATCCATGTTTAATTTCCCTCTTGGCCCCTTTGTCATGTTGACGGATATCCCCACCATGTTGTGGATAACGGGGTCCAGCTGTGGCAATGATGTTACTGACAGTATAAAAGGATGGGAATAGAGGAGATTGTGTTTGGAGGTAGGGTCCATTGTCTTCTGAAAGGATCATCAGAGATTTAAAAGGGTTGTTAAAAAAGTTGGGGATGGGGGAATTAGGAATGCGGGGAGTCAGAGGGCTCACTCCAGCTTTCTCTAGGTGCCTAAGTCATCATTTACAACCGATATGATGTCATGTCCCTGTGCTTCTGTAGTAAATCTACACTAGGAGCAGTCGTTTATTTTAGTAGTGCACCCTAGTGAACTGAACCCCCAGACCCTAAAACACTATAGATCATACTCTAATGCACATGCCACAAGTATTGTTCCTTTAATATATTTAGTCCTAGAAGACAAGGGGCCTCTTTAATGGGAGTAAGCACTTTGTAGTGTGCAGCCTTATCCCGTTACTTGGCGCCCCCCAACCCCGTAGTCTCTGGCCAGGCCTGATAAATAATGCAAGTGCACAGTGACCTGCAGCTCCCCTACACACACCGCCGTGTTCTTCCCCCTCTTGTACCCTTCATTGCCCCTCCGTGTTGCCTTCAGCTATAAAGATAAGGGCTCTTGACGCATGGCCCGCCGGGATTTAATTGCTGAAGCCCACTTCACCCTCCCACAGGCCTTATCCACCTCTCCACCCCGGTGCCCCTGGTGACAGAAACCTGCTTTTGTCTCCGCTGTTTTCTTCTCCTACTCATCTCGAATAGAAAGAAAAAGCAGTAGAAGAAGTGAGCCAAAAGAGAGGGGAAATGCTTTCTTTTCTTTTCTCCCTTCTTATTGCCTCTTTAATGTTTCTTTTCAAGGGGCTGACCGTTTATGTCTCATCGTGTTGCGCAAGGACTTTCCCATGCTTCTATCTTAGTATTTCATCCTTACTGTTTCTGCCCTGATACTCATCAGCCAACTCGTTTTATTCTCATACAAGCCCCAAAACTAGACACAGATGCAAGAACAATTGTTATATAAAAGATCTGGTCACATAGCTGCTTTAACACCTATTCATATAAGCAGCACGTCATTCATCCAATCCATCGTCTGTTTATTAACCGAAAAACAATTCCCTGTTAAGCTCTAAATGCCAAGCCAGTGAGACAGACAAGCTCACTTTTTCAGAGTCAGCTGCTGCCTGTCTCAGGAATGTCTCAACAAGCACACAAGGGAGAGAAAAGGAAATTACAACTCAAGAGAGGAGGAGGAAGGCAAGAAGGGAGGGGGGCATTCCTCCCTGCGAGGGATGACAAGCCTGTCTTTCTACTATCTCTCTCTAGACCCTCCACCTGCACTCACTTCAAAACATTTGAAAGTTAAGGCCAAAAAGGCAGAAGTCACTCAAGATGGTATATTCATTCAGTGGATCCATTCTGTAGTGACGCCACGTTTGCGCCTTACCTTTCCCACTGATAAGATCAGCAAAACTCACTCGTTTCCAGAAAGAAAGAAAGAAAACAGGAGAATCTAACCTAGCAAGCTCTGGTTTAATCTGTGATCTGGCTATATTCACTGCCTGAACCTCCCCCCCATCCACATCCACCACAGTGTCTCCTCTACTGGGTTATCAGATGTGCATGGCCCACTTTGGAATGAGGCACAGTCAAATAAACATTCTGCCCAAGGGAGTAACGCCAGTATCACCACGTTGAGTTTCTTGGAAACATATTCTCAGTTGTATCTTGCTTTCCTCTCATGGAGGCCTTGATGTTGTTGTATGTTCTGGCACTGGACCCTTTGAGCCGTCTCTTGCACCAAAAGTCAAAGCTTCTCTATCTCAGAAAAAGAAGGAGTTGGAATATTTTTGGATAACTTCAGACACATATGATACATCTCTCAGATGAACGGTAAAGTGCATGCAGGATTCCATTTGAACAGGCACTCTTTAATATCAAGTAGACGTTGATACACACATTGGTGAAGTATCCTGGAAAATGCAGCTCCCCACACATAGTGATGATGTCAAAACCTGAGACCATCTGCACACGCTCCAGCTGTTGCTTGGTTCTCCCTAAGCGCTTCATCTCCTGTTTATCTTCACAAATCCTTTTGTTTTCCCTTGTTCTGTAAGCAGACGCAGCACAGCAGCCACACTTTCTCTCTCATCATCGATTCTTAGGCCTGAAGTGAAACCTCTCTTTCTCTCTGTGGCCATCTTTAAAAGGTTTCGCCAATCTTTGAACTTGTGACTCCAGTCATTATTGATAGCTGCAATAGCATTTTTGATTTCCAACGGTAGAGAATTCAATGTAAATACTTTGGACTTCTCCGAGGCATGACCCAGAAACCCTTTACAACTTTGACCATGTAATGACTCACCTGTTAAAATGAATTCCCCCTAGGCACTGTTTAAATGATGGGATAACTACAAGCCTTCACCTCTGCTGCCCATTCAGCTGTAGCCGACAGCAAACTTTCGCCATCAGATGTTATCGATACTTTGTGGACAAACATTTCCATAAACAATTTCAACACTTAAGGGTCCAATTTGCATGCATGGTTGCCAACGTTGAGTTAGTTATTCTGCACTGTTAGCAGGTGCTGACTATGGAAACTAGTTAGCTGCTTGGTTCAATCAAGCCTTGCTCTTTGAGTATAGTCATGTTTTTGAGGTCTGGCTGCACACAACATCATTTATCCCCTGTCTCCTATTATCTGAATAATAGCAGTAACATGTTGGCAGTAGGGTTCAGGCAAATGCCACGGTTGCCTTAAGTTTGAGAGGGAAAAATAAGACATCAGGGAATCCTTCCAAGGAGGTTGCAATTTCAAGGAGGAGAAGAAAGTATGCTGAAAGAGAAGATAAATAAATGTCATAGCTGTGGTGTGATGAGATGATACCCGGTATCCGCCTCTCTGATAGAAGAAATCAGCCATGCTTCCACACCTTGCTCAATGTTTGAATACAAGACATTGAACAAAAACAGAAATTAATCTTGTAACTTTAGAGGAAAAGAACCAAGATAGAAAAATATGATGAGGAAAATAAAAAGTCCAAAGCTACATCTTTGACATTTCTTGTGTAATGGTCGACAACCCTAGGTAAGCAGTGAGAGAACAGAATGTTCTCTGTGTGTGTGCTCCATCTGTGTAAAACTTTAGGTCACACATACTTGGCTTCTCATTCAGGTATTTTTGCAGTGAAGACATCAACAACTGCACCATTTAAGGCCCTAAAGTAAGCTCCCTTAAGTTGACCAACACACTGCTTTTGGGCATTATACAACTTTAGAAATCAGGTTTGGAGATATCAAACCAAATAAGTACTTTCTGTTGAGTCCTTGAAGAGTAAACATTTAGACAAAAGCTTTCTAAAAAATAAAATGGTTAACAGATAAAGATTTTTACTTTCACCCCAAGGCCATCTCACTCCATATAGCAGGAATGGTAAACTGTCACAATCTTGTCTGCAACTAGTTTCTTCTTTATCTCCCTTCATTCCTCTCTTTCCATCATCCCTTTCCTCCTTTTCAGCCCTTTCAAATACTGTGTTGATGCTCTACCAGGGCGTTTGTTTTGAAAGGCTTGGGCTCAGGTGAAAAGGGCTTAAATCACGGCTTCATATCTTCCTGAAGATCTACAGTACTCTTTTCAGTCTCTCCAGTATTAGAGACACTGGCAAGCAGCACTTGCTGTCAGTCTGCGTAATGACAACATAGAAAGTGTGAGTTATTTATATTATGTCTTTGGTCAGAGAACAGCTCCAGGCTATCAGTAAAGCTCCTCTCCTAGCTTAGAACACCAGAAAGTAAATCATCCACAGTTGTATGGCCACATGCAGCATGGCGAACATACAGCCAGACAAACTTGACACGGTATGGTTATATGAAACTGGAGAGACCAGAGCAGTGTGTATAGTGATTGAGAGGGCGTGTGTGATTTTGTGTTCAAAAGACAGAAAACGTTTAATGCCACTCAGTGTTTTCACTTTGAATCAACATTTTAGGAACAAAACAAGTTTGATTTTTTCATTGATGCTGTGTGTCTGTGTCTTTCATAGGCTATAAAGTCTGTCATAAACATAGGGAGAACGGATAACTCTGACCCCACAGCAACCGAATTGTGTGCACTGCACTACAGTAAATAGCAGTGGGTGGGCGGCTTACAAATATAAACTATTTTATTTTAACACCAACACACACATTAGCATATATATTTTGTATATACATATGTATATATAAACATATATGTATATATATATATATATACAGTATATGTGGCTGTGCATGTGCTCATGATGGCCATCTGTAGCATTATTATAGAGGGAACAAAGGTTCTGGCCTCCTGCAATACTATCTATTACACAGATCATTGCAGGAAGAATGCGGCACTCCTTTAGCCAGAAAAGCATGGCTTGACTCCATTCTGTTAACTTTACCTAGAATATAGCAGAAAACTCCCTCTGAAACCTGAGGTTAGGGCTACAGACCTATTGTTTGAGAGACCTTGTGACAAAAGACTGCCTTTGATCACTGGCTATGCATAGTTAAACCTTTGATAGTAATCTCACTCTTTGAAACACATTAAAGAACCACACAATGGCTAACATAGGAACTAGAGGGTATACTGTACAGAGAAAATATGCTTTGATTTAGAAATTCAACATTTCCCTACAAGTATCCCACATTTCTTGGTGCAACTGTCGGATGGTACTCAACCAAAACAAGGCAATATCAACATTATGTGTACTACTGTTGAACCCTGTTAACAATCTGTAAAGAAATGAATTGTATACATTCTCTGGATCATTATACAAGTTATTGACAGTTTATATTTTCTCTTGTTTTAGGTTGAGCAAGGAGAGAGAAAGAGCCTGCACCATGAAGACCTTTCTCACTCCGCTGATGCTCTTTCTGCTCTTCCTCCTCCTTCCTGATGGGACCTTGTCCAACGACTGCCCAGAGGGTTGCTCCTGTTCCACGCCAGAATCCATCTTATGTTTCCAGAGACGCTCATCTACCATTCCTAAGGGAATGCCTTCACAGACACAAAGTCTTTACCTCTTTGCCAACGGCATTGAGAGCTTCACATCGGAGGACTTTGATGGTCTGGAGAACCTGGAAATGCTGGACCTCAGTCAAAACAAATTGACTGAGCTTACCGAAAGGGTGTTTGAACCTTTGACCTCTTTGAGAAACCTGGACTTGTCATCCAACCAGATCACCCACATTTCAGAGGAATGCTTCCAGGGTATGGTGCTGCTTGAGCGCCTTTATTTATATAGTAATCATATTGAGACCATCCACCCTGCAGCTTTTAATGGCTTGGAGCACCTGCTGGAACTCAAACTGCAGGGAAACCAATTGACCTCCCTGCCTGCTCTCTCAATGCCCCGACTACTGCTGCTTGACCTTCGCTTTAATGTTTTATCCAGCTTGGGTCCTTCAGACCTCCAGACCCCAAACTTAGAGTCACTCAAATTGGGTGGTGTGGGGCTAACCAGCCTGGATAAGAACCTCTTGAGTAGTCTAAAGAACCTCCATGAACTAGACATTTCTGAAAACAAACTTGAATCCTTCCCCTCAGCGCTAAAGGAAACCCAGGGGCTGATTCATCTAAGCCTGGCTGGGAACCCCATCGGTCCGCTTAAGGTTCAAGACCTGCAGAACCTTGGAGAGCTGCAAGAGTTGGACATTAGCAGCCTGAGTTTGCAAGGGCTGCCTGAAGAGTTCCCCCAGCTCCTACCGCACCTCAGAAAGCTCGTTGTAGCAGAGAACCCCTTCAACTGTCTCTGTACCTTAGCATGGTTCCCAAGATGGCTGAGAGCCCAGAGCATCACCCTAGAAAGAACAGAGGAGACCCGCTGTCATTTCCCACCAGTCAGTGCTGGAAAGGTATTGGAAAGACTAGAGCACAGGGATTTTGGATGTCCTACAACAACAACAGTTACCACAAGTACTGTCAAAACTACTACTACTACAACCTTGCCTGTCCCTGTCACTACCTTACCAAGCACTACTAGAGCTATTCCAGCCCCAAAGGCCAGTGACGACCCGAAGGATGAAGATGTTGACTCTCCCCTGCTTCCTGTCCCTGCATCCCCAAGTAGCAGCAGCATAGACACCGACGAGGAGCAGCATTTCTGTCCCCCTCTCACCTGTCTGAATGGGGGTACTTGTCGTTTGGACCAGCATGGTCAGGTACAATGTCTCTGTCCACATGGCACCTATGGCATGTATTGTGAAATCAAAAACCTTCATCTGCCTTCACCACCTGAAACTGACACTCCAGTGGAAACTGCCAATATAGATTTAGACATCAGCTCACATGAAGCAACTGCAACCTCAATTCTGCTGGACCTCCACCGCTACATTGAGATGCGGCCTTACATCCGTGGTATTCGCCTAACCTACCGCAATCTCTCTGGGCCAGACCGCAGGCCGAATCATCTCAGCCTGCCAGCATCCTTCCCAGAGTATACACTCAGAGGTCTCCAGCCAAACTCCACGTACCATGTGTGTGCTAGTCCATTAGGTGCCCCTAGTGGCGTGGACAGTGTCTGCACCGAGGCCCACACAGTTGCTGAAAGCAGTAGCTCTATTGCATGGTCAGGGGAAAAGAAGTTGACCACTATGATTGTGCCTGTTATTGCCATCTTGCTACTGTTGGTATTGATTGCAATAGCAGTGGGAGTGGTATGCTATCTTCGCAGGAAGAAAGCAAAGGGCCACCTGGACCTAGACTGTGAGCCCTCCCAGCTAGAGTTGGATGGAGTGAAGGCTGGTTTGGACAATGGGGCACTGCCTCAAAAACAGCCCCAACTTATGATCCCGGAACCTGCTGTTCAGAAGGGCAATCTGGAATATGAGGTGTTGCTACTACAGGAACAATGTACATCAAATAACAATATGAATTCACACAAGCTTTCCTATTTTTGACACGTGGCATTGACAACCTAAACAAGGATTTTAATTCTTCAGCCCTTTCTTTCCACTGGTGAATTACAAAGAGTATGAAATGCTGTTGTGAAAGAATTGGAGGACACTGTTTCAGCCAGTCAACAAGCAAAGGAGAAACTGGACATATATTTAAATCAATGCCCTTTGGTTGTCAAAGTAGACATTAAATAAGTTCATAAACTGTTCTTTGGACTTCAAAATGCATTGAAAGTGCCTACTCTCGATTTACATGCTGCATCCTGCTTCAATAAAGTTTCCCAGCTCAAATTGTTGGAATGACAACCTCTCAGCTGTGATGCCGGGACAGATGGTGCGTTGCCATTGGCTGAAACTTAGGGCTAAGGGACTGGGTGAACTGTCCTTTATCTGTTCATACAGGAAAGAGCACTGAAATTGGGTTGTGTTGTCTTTCCCCATTACACAGCCCAACTAAACACTACCAGCAATAGATTGTGCTGTATGTTGCAACTCTTCAGTACTACCCTTAAGGGATCAGTGCTTGCTGTGAATGACCTAAGACACCAAATGAAGTCGCGCAGAGAAAATACATTATGCTTGTATTGCTTTATTTGGCTGTAAAACTCTTTTTATGTTTTGTATGTTTTTTATACTGTGTCTATGTTTTTTTTTTACTGTGCAACATTCTGACTGTTAACAGCCTTATATACCCTGCACCCCCCACCTCTTGTGACTAACAGACAAAACAGCAGATTAAAATCTTTGAAGATTAAAACTCGTTTGGTACCAGCAAAGTCAATCAAAGGGCTTTGCCCTCAGAATGTCAGACAGTCTAAGTAGATGTGAGTCTGGACAGACTCAAAACTAAATCACCCTTCTCAATTCAGACGCCCTCAGCCTGCTTTGCCATTACAAAGGGAGAAGGTAAGCAGGCTTACAAAAGGTACAGAGGGAAACAATACTGTTTCATACAGTAAAGAGCATGACTTTATTACACTAAGCACTCCCGTGACTGTACGACAAAAGAGAACATCATAGACTATATTTATTATTTATATTCACAGCAAGGGACATTTTATCCCCGAACTACAATTCATCTACATCATATCACATGGCCTGGCCAAACACAAGCAAATCAAATAGTGTATTGTGCTTCCCTTAGTAAAAATAGCATGCTCAGCATAATGTGTTGAACCATTTCTTCTGGCCACCTTGCACCTAGGCAGATTAGCTCAGTCAGACGCACAAGACAAGTACCGGTACACTTATTTACAATGTTGTTTAGAGGTAGGGTACTGAGATCCAAATCTGTGATTATAGAAGTAACCTTTGTGTGTGTGTGTGTGTGTGTGTGTGTGTGTGTGTGTGTGTGTGTACGTGTGTGTGTGTGTGTGTGTACGTGTGTGTGTGTACGTGCGCGTGTGTGTGCGTGTCTGTGTGTGTGTAGATCTATCAATGATAGTGATAGTGCAAGACGTGTTCTGTCTTGTGCAAAGACCTGTAGACATCAAGTTACTATCAGTCACCCTCTATCTGCCCGCATGGCAAGTAGTACATTAAGCCTCAAACAACTCTACCTATTGTGTAGGCAAAGACACCAAAGACACCAAAGACACATCTCTGAATGTCTGTAAAGTTACCTTCCTACAGTATTCCCAGCGCCCAGTTAGAGGGTCCTTGCTAACATAACACCTTGCAAACCCAACAACACCACAATCAAGCAAATGCAACTGGAATCTTCTTTTGAATGACAGAATACATCAAAGATAACCAAGTATTTTTGATTTGATTGTTCATTTTTCCCTGTTGATTTTGGGAAGCTCTTTTTTGTCATTTATTGCTTTTTTAATTGTGTAAACATATTTGTACATGTGAAAAAAAGTGATATTATCATTAAATGAATATCCAAAAATAAAATGAACAGAGTTGTGTTTTTTTTTTTTTTTTAGTTTCCACCATTTTCTTGTAAGAGGAAGGCTAAGATTGACAAGCAATGGGGGGGATTATGTTTGTCTTTGACTTCCCTTTCCTTTTAAACCATCACTCAACTCGGCGAGGGAAGACATGAAAGGAGGGGGAGTCCAGGAAAGAGACAGAAAGGTAACCAAGGTATAAGTGCAGGAGTAACTTTGCTTATTTTATTATTACCCACACTTTAGGGCTTGGATGTTAGTAAGATTTAACCTCTTTGCACCATGAATGTCTTTAATAATTCAATGTCAATGCAACTGATACATTCTTGAACAAAGTGGTGGACTGAACGATCAACTTTGGAAATCATCCAGGCCAAGAGTTTAATGTGTGCTTTCATAAACGAGAAGTCATGAAATTGCCCCTTACCAGCAGTGAGCTGTAGGCAGGGGAATGAAGATTATGATTGAAAACACACAGGTTAGGGTTGTAAGTGGATTTAACCATTGTGAATGACTCACTGGTCTCAGCCTAATGAGCGAGCATTGTTTGCAAACCCACACAATAAACAGGCTGACCACCCATGTGTTTTATAGCTAGGATGTTGGTAGGGGATTGGTTCAGCATGCACACACACGCCCACACCTACAAACAAACAGCAACACATACTGGCTCACAGCTTAGAGCTGTTGTGCAAGCTCCCATGCTACCAACACAAATACATAAAACAGCACCACTTCTGTCATGGAGGCCTATAAAAGCGTTTAGAGAGAGCAAACTTCCTAGTCAGATAACAGAAGACACAATAGACCCGCTATATGTTGACATCTTTAATTAATATATTAAGAGATAAGCTTGTTTAAGCCTGTCACCTACCAAATCATTTTTTTTTAAGACAGCGAGTACAATACATGGAGCTTAATGCGAGCATATATGTGTGTACAAGGGGACATCTAGGCAAAAGGACAGATATGATAGGTTGATCAGGACAGGCAGCTGCAAGTGTTCATGTATGTGAATAAGAAAGGAAAGGGAGAACAGAGAGTATGTGTGTGTCTGTTTCTCTCCCTACCTTCAATAAAACAGTCACCCTTTTCTTCCCCTGGCTTTAAAAGCAACCTGGTTCCTGGATGGGGTCCAACATTGACACTCACACTCAGCCTGCGCTGCTCAATGGCCCCTATTGTGGTTTCAAGGGACCTTTTTTACAGTCTTCAACCCAAAGAAATTCCTCAAAGAATTACTTCTGAGTCAATATTTTTTCACTCCCCTCCATTTTCTTAGCTCTATTTTTTGTATCTAATTTGTTTCCAAATTCAGGGGTGCTAGAAGTCAGCCAAGGACAAGGTGTTAAAACGCAGAATCATGTGACTGCAAATACCGTTGTTTTTGCTGTGCACTTCGAAATCTTTTATTAAGATGACTTTTTCTGTCTCTCTGCTTTCTTTCTTCCAAATAGTCCTACTGCCCCCACAGCACAACTGACCTCCCTGTAACCTGAAACCCTCTCTCAAACCTCAGCCGAGAGTCAGCAGTTGCGGGCATAAAATGAACTTTATAAAAATCACAAGATAAAGCATTTAACTCAACCCAAAGAGAAGGCAAATAAATGACCTCTTCCATGACACAATAAAACTGGGTTGATGCAGGCAGAAGAAAACGGCTTCATTGAATCTTTGACACTGTTTTAAAAATGTTCCCAACAAAAACAATATGTTATACATCATGCCGTTATTCTTTATCTGCAGTCAGTTCTGTGATTTTGCATCGTACTTACCAACAGGCGCCAAGGATTTTATAAAAGGGATTTAAACCAACATTGAATAAGAGAGTAGAGAAGGAAAAAGAAGAGCTGAGTAGAGAGAACACACCACCACTTTGTTTTTGGAATCTGGTTCTCTGGCCCCAGTTTTTGGCCCCTGGGCTTGTTTCCCTAAAGTACTCTCTCCAACTCCCTGGCCCCACATCCCACCTTCCCTCCTTCTTCATCTTTCTGAAGTAATAATAATAACAGATGAAGGGTGGTGTGCCACCGGTTCCTCTCATGTCATACAGCTGCCTGTCTGAGCCAGCAGATGGGCCCAATGCTGCTCTGACAAAAACCACAGAGGAAAGATGAGAAGTGAAAGAAAAAAGTAAAAGGGAGAAAAAGGGAAGAATTTGACTTTGGTCAGTTCCTGGCAACATACATTAGCAGCCAGGCACACATGCAGTTCATTTCACGAGCTGTGGTAGAGTATTAGATATAAAAACAAATGTGTAATTTCCCCAATTCTCTCCCATTCTAGGCTTTCCATTTGTGTATGTTTCCGTCATTTACTCTCCCAACATGCTGACCGTCATTATCATTTCAGACTAGAAAATAGACAATGTAAGATGGCAAGTAAATAAAGTATAATAGGGGGGGATCAGGCTTATACAGTTGTGTAAATATGGGTCTATGCTGGTCAAGACCAATGGCCTACAGTAAGCAAAATATAGTAGGCAACTTTCTGGGACCACGTCTATTGCTGAGGGGGGCTCATCTTATACCTATTTGGTTGCTTTTCTGATGCAGCATCCAAGGCTTCAATGATACCAGTTAAGAGTTTAACACTGACCATCTGCAGAGAAACCAGACCACATTATCACATAGGCTCTTCTGTCTGTTCATCCCTTGTCCGTGGTTTTGAATGTTCAACTATACCAATAACTAGAATAAACCTGTCAATACATTTGTGTATTCACCTTTGACAAAGAAAAAAGTACCAAATCCTGACCTTTAGTAAGCTGGAACAAGGGAAAGTTTGTCTTTTTATTTCTATTATTACTGTTCATAAAGAAATGCTGTTATAAATATTCGATTCAAAAAAGTTGCTGATAATTGTTCTGTCTCCCATTGCAGCTAATCTTAATAAGAAGTTACCCTCACATGCAGTATATGGAAAGGTCATCTTAATAAACTTTAAGTCAGAAGCAGACGGAGGACAGGGCATGGCAATGTTAGCTTCTCTTTTTAAAAAAACAACAACTTTTGTTTGTGTATTATTACTTACTGATACCTCAGTTACCGTGTCAAGTTTTTAAGGAACCTCATTTATTACTTTTTTTGTAGTGCCTAATGTATTTTAAAGTCTTAAGTACAAGTAATCTGTGTTAAAGGTAATTGAGATGTAGCGGAAGGAGCCAAAGTAAAGTATTATAGAGCAAAAACAAATCTGAGGCGGGTTTTAGGTTTATAGACATAGAAAAAAATTCAAGCTCCCCGGAGCACGCTCTGTTGAAATACACAAAGCAAAATATAAACTTAAAGGAGGAAACCGAAAATAGAGAGGGATGATCTAAGAAATGCTGTAAGATAAGAAGGATAGGATGGAAACAATTACACCCAATTAAAAAGGTGGAGTGATGATGAAATGTAAGGGGGGGAGGGGGGAAGGAGGGACGCTGAGACCAGCTGAAACCGGTTGAGACCAAGCAGGGCCACATGCAGAAAAGCATATCTGTCTTTGGAAATGTACTGACGAGAGGTATGTCACCAGAGAGGTGTGTGTGTGTGTGTGTGTGTGTGTGTGTGTGTACACACACTAGGTAGCAATGGAATTATCGAGCACCTAAACAGGACAGCCTGTCACCGATGGCTAGCAACCAGCAAGTGTGCTTCTCATTTCAAAGGAATGGAGGGGCAGTGGGTGGGGAACTGTATTTATTCAGAAAAACATAAGCACATGAGTAATACTGTATTAACCAAGATGAGAGGAGGCGGTAGTGGACAGAGAGGAGGTCGTTGAGGGTGAAAAGGGTGCAGGAGACGATAAAATACTATAGCACGTATTTGTTTAAAACGGTTCCATAATCAAACAAGAGTTTGTGAAATCCAAATAAGCTCCCCAAGCCTGGCAGATCAAGCTAGTAGCTCAAGCATATAGCTATCGTTTAAACTAATCAAAACCAGTTATTGTCAACTAAACACATGTAAAAGTATCTTCTTGTAGCTCTCTTCAATTGTACTGGGATGAGGATATGTTTCTGTCCTTTTTCTGATTTTAGAATAGCTATAACAAATCATTGACAATAAGAGTTACATTTGTAAATTGAATTCCCTTGAGGGCAACAATTCCCAGGTCTCTTTGGGATGAGAGCTAAGAGGTCAGGATGTCAGCCGGCCCAGAGACCCTTTGCTTACCTCTCATCGCCTCTGTAAGAAAACAGCTGTGATGAGAAGTGATGAAGGTCTGAGCAGTTGTTCATGGAGCCAGTAGTTAGAAACACCAGAGGCAAGCAAGGGGCCCAGTTTTTAAAACTCAGTGGTGAATTCCACAGGTTTTAAAAAACACTAACAGTTGCCACACGTCTGGCAAGGCTTAATTAAACACTTTCTTGTTTGTCGGGGGTCCAAGACCTCAACACATCCTACTTAACTTGTTCCTAGACAAAATAAATAAGAGGCAAGTGTGACAGAAGCTGTCATCATTTCTGGGTTGCCTAAAGTCACAGTTTGTTTTTGTCATTTCTATTTATCTTTAATCAAATTCACAGACATATAAAAACAGCTGTACTGCATGCAACTTGATTGAAAATGCCAAATATAACTTCAGAGCATCTCGTTCACCTTTGACAGATGTGACTGGACACAGCATTCAAATGACCATTGGGTTTGTGATCTAAAAAGTCATCGCAATTTTCATTGGTCACAGCAAGGACCGCATGTGCATCCATGTTAAGGTGGGGTCAGTAAGACAGGATCATCATCACAGCCTGTTTGGCAGAGTCCCCAGTACTTATTCAAGCAATGTTTCTCAGCACTTTATATTATCTCAACAGATCAGCAAACCTTCTGCTGATCCAGCAAAAGAAACATTCAGTATAAACACACAATGACTTACACTTATAAGGTTAAACAGAGGGATCTATGGTTGTTTGTTGTATGCTGTAAAAAGTGCAGTGCAATGCAATGTT